ACAGAAATGGACATGAAACAAGTACAGGTCATCCTGATAGTTAGGGAAATTGTTCAGATCAGTAATACACCAGGAAAATAGGAAAAGAGTAGTCAGTGCTGTGCAGGCAGACCACAAGAGAAAGAATGAGTCTGGCATAGAAGACATACTCTAAGATTTGGTGGGACAGATTACGTTCATGAAGTGAAGTGTTCACAACTGGGTTTCTAATCCATTTCAAAATATTGTTTTAATATACAACATCAAGACCTCCATTGTCATGTTTTATTTTTATAATATTTGATATAATAAGAGCTTAAGTTTCTGAAAAGGGAATTTTTTTTCTCCTTTTGTTATATAAAAACATTAAACAAGACAAAGACAGATTACTATTTCACCTGTTCAAGATTTGAATGGAGCCAAGTCATGGTAAAAATGAAAATTTGGAAACAAAAATTCAAAGTCACCCTGTTCTCCACTCAGTATGCAGGCTAAAGGTCAGCATTATTAAAGTAGTGCAGCTTTTCTTAAAGCGGTACTACAGATCTGAGTTAGGTTTCGGTCTGCTAACTACTTGTTTTCTCTTTTAATTGCAGTACAAACAGAAAAAAACAAGATCAGTAGGAGGCAAGTAGGCCCATCTCAATCTTTTGGTTTCCAGTGATGGATTCTTAATGGATTGTTAATGAGTAACAATTCTATCTATTCATTTCTTAAATTACTCTATGGAGTCCTTTTAATTAGGAAGTTAACACAGTCATTGATTTGAAAAGTATGGAACATATTACCAGAATTCACACCACCCCTTGAAACATTAACACATCAATCTCTGTAAGAAATCTAGCTGGAGTCACCTACAGTACTACAGAACATCACAATTCATCACGAGGGTGGCAGAGATGTTACACACAGAATCATTTGTATGACAAAAGTTTCAAAGCACAAATACTCTTGTATGCTACACAAATGAACAAAATCATAGTTCTGGATTTCAAACTTTCAGTCACAAGTGATGAGTTTGATAATCTTAAATACAGAAAAATTGTAGCACAATATACAACTGTCTGAAGTTACAGCAGCTTCCCTGTTGCTGCTATTCTAAGATTGTTAAACCGTATATATACTGACAGTGAATTAACTGCACTAGACGAATGTTTTCTAATTGAACAGTAAAAATAAAACGCTGACACCTTTAATATGGCAAACAACAAACTCTTCAGATGGTAAAAAGCAAACTTTCAAAGATTTCACAATAATTTACAGAAGCCTTTACTAATGATATAAAAAGGTTTACAGGGGATCTATTGGGCTAAATTAAGACTACACCATGAGCAGAAGAATTTTTATTAGAAATCCTAAAAGCTATATTTTGTTATACTAGAGGGATGGTATGTGAACACTTTTCAAAATACATTAACAGTCAAGTATTTTAAAAAAAATCAATTTTGAGGTTCAGTAAAAGGGAAGGGATTTCAATAAAATATTTTCTTTAATAGACCAGACATCAAAGTATAAACCTAATCTCAAAGACAGAAATTGTGCTCGAATATGCAAATCCTCAGAATCCCTTGGCCACTTAAAAAAAATATTATTGCGTTTAATATTGATTTACAACAGATTGACTCCCGAGTTAGACATGTAATGACGATTTACAGTAACTAGGTTATCATCTAAGAGTATCATATATTCTTTGGCATTAAAAACACAGATAAGAATAGACGAACTTTGATCAGCTTTAAAATCAGAATAATTAATGCTCCCAGCAAAATACAAATCCCACTGGATAAACAGGTATGATACAACGAAAAGGTCTTTGTACGGGACTCCTGCCTTGACTAAAACTGAAACAGATTTGTTTTCCCAAGAACACAGACAAGCTGTCCGTTGCCAACAAAAGCACAAAACACAGAACGAGTGAACGGAATATTTTGCAGACTCACTGTGCAGCCACTGACAGGACTGAGTAAACCAGTAGTAGCTCTTCACTTCTTCCAGGGAGATTTTGACATAGCATCCTGTGTCCACAGGCTTCAAGTGGATTTGGTTGTTGCTTGTCTCCTCTTTTTCCATAATCTCCTATAGGTATTTAAGCCCCAATCCATTCATATTTCTAAAAAAAAAAATCGGTAAAAATACAGACGCTGGCCTCCTCTTGTCGCATGACAGGCTGTTCTTCTCCAGGCTTCCTATCTGAAAGTCAGGTTACTCATTTTCAGCTGCGGAGCAGTCCAGGTGGAATCCTCCCTGTAAACATTTACCTATGTCAATACTGCCGCCAGCCACACAGATCTCTCTCTCCCTGGCTTTTGTTACACACAATAACGGCATATTGGAAAGCTATTCAAAGCGGGTTTATCAAGAGCCTGATAAAGACGTAACAACATATACTGTATGAACAGACCATTCCTTTAGTTCGACAATGGACATAATTTTCCTAACCATATTTTAGTTTTGCAACACTGAAACTAGTGTACTGAACTGTCCACATGCACACTGCTGTAGTTTCTCCCTATTGGCAATTACGTGGTCATAAAATCGGGTGAGAACAGTCAAAAGGTCTATAGGGTTTCACAGGTACTTTTCCACTATAAAACCTTAAAGGAGCAATGCCGTCTAGTATTTTAGAGTATTACAATTAGTTTACTGTAACTTTAGAAAATGCTGATTGTGAAAGATTTACACATATTTTTAAATAAATGTGCTTCTAATCTTTTCTTGTGATAAAGATGTTAGGAAGTGTGGCTTTTGGTATCTTATTTCTTATTTGTCAACACCTCAAGGCAACTGTTGCTCATATCGGACGTAACCTCAAGTAACTTCAAGTTGCCGCAGGAACAAGGCACTTTGTCTACCTTCCCTAGTAGGACTTCAGTCCTAGATGCAGCTCTCAGGGTCCAGAGATTTTTTACAGGCAGGATCCGTTTTTCATTGTTGATCCTTTGTATGCAGCTGTGAAAGGACTATAAACTATCCAATGAAAATATTACAGTGTGATGTGCTCCACAAGAGAGAAACGTCATTAAAATGCTGCAAAGAAAACTTTATTTGACCAAATAAGTCAACTGAGTAAAACAGTAGCAGACCAGGCATTTGCCTCGGAGGATGCTGTGAAACAAGGAAACAAAGCTGATTAAACTACTCACGAGATGCGATTGCTCAAGTATTTGTTCCAGGTGTGATGCTGGAAACCGAATCAGACTTGGTGGATTTTGTCAATTTAGACAGCCTTAAGGGCTTCGCAGAAAGCAGCTGTTAGAACTGCGCACAACCGAAAGGAATCACAATTCAAGTCTAAGAAAATACTGAACTTCTGCTGACACTTCATTCAGAGTTGCACTGAGGGAAAGTGTATCTCCATAAAGTGAACAGAATTGAGGCTGCAAAATGTTTGCACATGCAGTCCTCGCTGTAGGCTGAGGCAATTTTACTAATATTCCGATAGGGTAGTTTTTGGTAAAAAATGTTAGCATCCATTGAGAAGATGTTATCACGCCTTACTAAAACTTCAAAGCCTCATGGTATTCAGATCTTACAAATTTTGACGTCACCGCCCTTCCCTGTGAATAGCAGGGGCCGCAGCCGCTGGGCTGAGCTGAGATCTCCCTTTAGCTCAAGAAGCTGGGTCCCTGTTGAGTGACGCCCGGGTTCGAGTCCCCGACGGTGGGGGGGCCGACCTGATGCGGCGGCGGCGAGGGCGCCCACGTGAACCCCGTAGCGTTACAGTATTGTCTCCAGAACCTGTGCTTCTCAATAATTGAGGGTTATGTGCAGCTTTGGCAGTGTATTCGAGCCATATCTGCTGAGTGAGGCGACTTCAATGTCATTGTGCACACCCTTCTCACTTAGTACCCACTGCTGTTTGTATCAGAAAAATCAGAAGCGTGCAGTGGAATGATGCATAAATATTTAGCTCCATCACATGACTGCACCAAACTGCAAACCTAAATCCTGAATGGGGAAAGTCGAATGCGTCTCATACGAGCGGTTTCTTTTTTCCAAATTGGAGAGAGCAAAGCAAATTCACCCTGAGATACATTAAGCAATGATGCTGCTGATCTCTCAGATTCTTGATTTTTGTCTAAAACATGAAAAGAGACTATTAATAATGTGGATAATGATTTAATCAGATAGGAGATCTTCTGTCTGCATTTGCTATCCAAATAAGTGCTATTAAGACATATACAAAGCATTTTTTAAAAAGGAGTATTTTAAATATTTGGACTTGAGCTAAAGAAATGTGTACTTTTAAGCTTTAGCTTTTGGTTTGTGTAGACTTGCATGTCTTTGTAAAGCATCGTTATTTGTGCCCTTTTAAACAACATAAACAATTCATGACAGAAAAAGGGTGAAAGCACAAAAATCACTGCTCTCTTAACTCACAATTCTGTGTTCAAGGATCACATGAATCATGCATTATTTAGGTACTAAGAGAGTATTAGGTCAACATAAGAACTATAAGTAACTCAGGAAGAGAGCAATCTTTGACCTTACAAAATGACTCCAAATGACCCCAGTTTACAGCCTATGGGAAATTTTTGTTCAATAGTTGTTTTCACAAGTATAAATGAAACAAAAATCATGACTATTAATTTTATTACACTATTAATTTTGAAAAATGCCAGATCATACCTTTATATTTAATTAAAATAAGACTTTCTTAACATAAAAATCAACTGATTAAAGTATTAAAGAAACAACAATGAGAACTATCCCAGATTGACACTGTTGTTGCTCATTTCTAAACCATTTGCCTTTAGGATACAAGCAAAGAGGACGGCGTCACATCTACAAACAAATGTATTCAAATAATAAAATTTAACCAAAATTCATTTTAGCGCAATTAAAAAAAAAGAGAGATTTCAAAGAAAATGGTCCAGATCAGTTATAGAAAGCATTAAGGACAAAGCCCAGTGAAGTTAGAGCAAACCTTTCACAGAAAACGGACTGCGGGAGGCACATGCAAGCAAAAAGAAACCTTAAGAGAAACTCTTAAAATTTCAGCAGAAAAAACTCCGCTTTACCTGTCCATTCTTTCCAGGAGTATATTCTGCTGCTTTTGGGCAGGGAGCCGAGCACAGTAGCAGAGAGACTGTGAAGAAGCTGGCTGAGACGAGCAAATATCCGGTAAGGAGCTTCTTGTCCTTCCCTGAGCAATCCGTGGAGAGACATGGGAACAAAGCTTTCCTGCAGCAACACGGCGGAGGCTTGGCTGTAACACATCCACGATGTCCGACACTGGAGCACAGGCAGAGCTGCACAGACCAAGCGGTCTTATGGAGTCCTTGGAGCTTCAAGGTAAGCCCACAAAAGAGTGGCACTCATTGCGGGGTCCTCAGAGGAGGTCTAAGAGACTCACAGGCAGGCAGCAGGTCGTCACAAATCTCCTTCTGCTGGCTAATTATACTCCCAGCCAAGGACTAATCTGTTGTCTTGCGTGAGCTCAGAAGATATTAAAATAACTTTTGCTACTTAACTCCACCGTTTGTGCCCTGCTGTAATGCACAGAGAGCACATCTTCAGCTCCGCCTGTAACACAAGACGTGGTAGGTTTTTCTTGTTGATCCGGAGGCTGGAGTTAATGTCCCATCACTTTTTGTTCTGGTCCTTGAGTTTGGGCTAGAAGTCTCCTTTTCTGTGAACTTGCAGGGCTGGCAGGTGCAGGCTCAGCATAGTAATGGCTCGCTGCAACACCTTTCCCATACAGATGAGCTCCCAAATTACTGCAGGAGAGCGTCAACAAGACAAATCCCAAGGTCCTTTTATGGGGGTGGGGAGGGGGGGGGGG